GCTGCTGCTGCGGGGGGAGACAGCAAAGCCTGTGCGCTATGGAGGCCCTCACCGAGGCATTCGATACACACAGCAGCGCCAGCATCTGCGACAGGGGTGCAGCAGCAGCAGCAGCAGCAGCTGCTGCTGCTGCTGCTGCTGCTGCTGCTGTTGCTGCAGGAGAAGCAGCAGCAGCAGCTGCAGCATGGCTCTGCTGATTGTCTCCTGCTGCATCGGATGCAGCACCAGCGTTCTCCTCCTCCTCTGCTGCTGCTGCAGTTGTTGCTGTTGCTTCTGCTGCTGCTGCTGCTGCTAGTGCTTGCTGCTGCTGTGCCTGTGCTGCTGCAGCAACAGCCTGCATCGCCTGTAAGCATACAGCAGCAAAGGCGAGTGCAGCATCATGGGCGCTGCTGCTACTGCTGCTGCTGCTGCCGCTGCTGCTGCTGCTGCTGTTGCTGCTGCTGCTGCTGCTGCTGCTGCTGATGCATGCATGCATGCGCGGCTCCTTCAGGGCCTCAAGGAGACAGGAGACAGACAGCTGCTGCTCCGTTGGCTGCTGCAGATGCTGCCGGGCTGAGGCGATGAGGAGAGCGAGCAGATGTCTTACATTTGTGCTGCTGAAAGACCCCTCATTGCTGCTGCTGCTGCTGCTGCTGCTGCTGCTGCTGCTGCTGCTGCTGCTGGTGCTGGAGAGACGGTGATAGATAAGCCAAGCAGCAACAGCAACAGCAGCATCCGTCAGGCTTGCTGCTCGCCCCAGCAGCCGAGCAGCAGCACGCTGCCCCCCCTTATGTAGACACCGCAGGGGGCCCCCTCTTGCTGCTGCAGCAACACCAGGGAGAGAGAGGAGGCCCTCATACGCCCCCAGCAGATGAAGAAGCAAACTAGAACTCCTGCTGCTGCTGCTGCTGCTGCTGCTGCTGCTGCTGCTGTTGCTGTTGCTGCTGCTGCTGCTGGGAGGCAGAGGCCCTGAAGAAGAAAGCGCTGCTGCAGCAGACGGGGTTGATGCTGTTGACGTTGCTGCTGCTGCTGCTGCTGCTGCTGCTGNTGCTGCTGCTGCTGCTGCTGCTGCTGCTGTTGATGATGTTGCTGCTGGTATGCTTTGGGCCTCTGCTTCTGCTGCTGCTGCAGCGAGGGTAGCGAGGAAGCAAAACGCATGCTGTGCTGCTGCTGCAGTCTGCAGCAGCACAGCAGCAGCAGCAGCAGCAGGGGATCGACCCAAGCAGCTCAGCAGCACATACAGCAGCCGCAGCAGCTGCTGCAGTGTATCTGCAGCTACGGTGTCTTTATGAATCGCCTGCAGCAGCAGGGGCCCCCACCCCACCCATACATCAGCAGGGGGGTTAATAACAACAACCCCACCACCTGGGGGGCCCCCTGTACCCTCCCCTGCTGCAGCAGCAGGGGGGCCCCCATACTCAACTCCTACATCCGCTAGACAAACGCTGCAGAGGCAGCAGAACACACGCAGCAGATGCTGCAGCAGCGGGGGGCCCCTGAGGGGCCCCTCCCCTTGGGATGGGTGGCCCCCAAGGGGGCCCCCAAGGGGGCCCCCAAGGGGGCCCCCCTCTGTACGTAATACCGCTTCTCTTGTTGCAGCTGAAACGCATGCATCAGCAAGCGTAGAGAGGGCCCCCCAGTACCCTTCTGCTTCTGCTGCTGCAGCAGCAGCCCAACCCTCAGCAGATTCGCTCCACCCGAGGGCCCCCTGCAGCACCTCGAGTGCAGCAGCAACAG